TGCTGTATAAAAGAAACACACCTAACTCAAAAAGAAACTCACAGACTGAAAGTAAAAGAATGGAAAAGAGTTCTCCATGCCACAGGAACCCAGAAGAAAGCAAGGGTAGCAATCTTATTTGCAGACAAAGTAGATTTCAAACCAAAACTAATTAAGAGAGACAAAGAGAGTCACTACATCCTTGTGAAGGGAATAATCCAAGAGGAAGAGATGACAATCCTAAATATATATGCACCAAATACGAATGCCCCCAACTGTACAAAACAAATATTAATGGACATGAAAACCCAAATACACACTAACACAATTGTAGTGGGGGACCTCAATACCACACTATCACAAATAGACAGATCATCTAGAAAAAAAGTTAACAAGGAAATTCTAGAATTGAACCAAGGTACTGAACACATGGACTTAATAGATGTTTACAGAGTGTTCCACCCCGGAATGTGAATCGGAATACACATTCTTTTCAGCTGCACACGGGTCATTCTCCAGAATAGACCACATGCTAGCTCATAGGACATGTCTAAGTAAATGTAAAGGAATAGAAATTACCCCATGTATATTATCAGACCACAGTGCAATAAAATTGGAGATCAATAACATAAGAAACTGCAAAATCCCCCAAAACACATGGAAATTGACTAACACCCTCTTGAACACCCAATGGGTCACAGAAGGTATTAAACAGTTTCTACTACCAGTACAACATAGAGGAATGTGTGGGACACAATGAAAGCAGTTCTACATGGGAAATTCATAGCAGTGAGCGCCCATATTAGGAAAACAGAAAACTCAAATAACCTAAAACAGAACCTCAAGCTCCTAGAAAAAGAAGAGCATAACAAATCCAAAGCTCCTACAAGAGAGGAAATTATAAAGATCAGAGCAGAAATCAAAGCAATGGACACTAAGAGAACAATACAAAAAAAATCAATGAAGCAAAGAGGTGGTTTTCTGAAAGAATAAACAAAATTGATAAACCTTTAGCCAACCTTATCAAAAAAAGGAAAAAGGCGCAAATACATGCAATTAAGAATGAAAAAAGTGAAGTCACAACAGATCCAACAGAAATCCAGAGGATCATCAATACCTGCTTCAAGAACCTGTACTCCAATAAAATGGAAAACACAGAAGAAACGGGCAGATTCCTAGGTACATATGAATTGCCAAAGTTAAATGAAGAAGATACAGAAATTCTAAACACCCCAATTACAATGAGTGAAATTGAAAATGTAATAAAAAATTTAC